GTGCCATAAATGCCCAGAGTCATATACCGCTGACTTTTCATTGTGTACCTAAGAAAACTACTTTCAGAGCATAGATAAACATAACAAATGATAACATGACATTTAAGCAGTAACAGCTGTATCACACTACTTTAAACAACATTTTACCATTTTTAGAATTAGTATACATGCAGTTTTAAGACCACATTTAATACACTGAATATTTGTCACACTGCAATCCTACTGAACTGTGCAAGTGAACTTTTTTAAAACTGTTAAACAATTACAGCATAATAAATCTACATTTTCTCTTATATATACAGTAGAGCAGGATCCAAACATCTGAGATTGGATTGAAAATCTGGGATTGAAAATAAAGTATTAAGATTTTGAAATGATGAATCTTTATAATGCAAAATGAGTAAGATTCTGTGCTGTTTCTAGGTCAGTAGTCAAACAATTTGTGACACTGATCATGTGACTCTTTGTAGAGATGGTCACAAGCTCAAGATGCTCTTTGGATCATGTCAAATTATGCTTGTGGAGCTCATGCAGCTCACATGCTACTGTAATTAAAGCAAAAGAGGGATGACCTAAATGCTAAGACGTTCTGTACTTTTATTAAACTGATAGTTTTACTAGTATTCTCAGACTTTGACCCCACTGATATATATACATTTTAATCTAAAATCTTCCATCTGTCAGCAGCTGACATCCCGTCTGCATTTTAAACATATAGCCCAGCCATAACATTCAAACACAAACAGTAAAAGGACTCCACCAGTTTAAAGCACTAGTCAAATGATCACATGTGACACACCTAATGATTCATCAGAGATCTGCCCAGTCTTGTGCTTTACACCCTACAAATAATCTATGTACACACTGAGAGATATGTAACGCTGATGATGATATGGTTTATATGCAAATTACTTGTGTAGGACTTTAAATAATGGTCCACTTGACATAATCCTGGCATAAAACACCTTGACATCTCATGTTTGAATGGAAAGTTTTCCACTGAATAACAGCTTGGCTGAAAGAAATCTACAGTGTGATTTTAGAAAACTTGGAATGTAGCAAACAAGTTGTAAGGAGTACATTCATGCCACTTTTCTGAACATATTAGAGTTTCCCTTTAACTTTCATTGTATGAAACAGCAGCTTAGACATACTGCAAAATGTCTTTGAATAACTGAGAGCTTTTTAAACTTTGCCTAAAAAACGAATCTTTTCAATTTAATTCAATCAGATGCTTTGAAACTTTATTTTATTGAGATTTTATTTATAGCATCATTTGGGCATCATCATTTTTATTAATATTCTGAATCATAATATTTTCATTTTAATTCGGTTAAAGTTTCAGAAATGTTGTTGTGTTTTTGTCATGTTTAGTATTTTTTAATATGTCTATCTATATAATTTTTTTCAGTTTCAGTTATAGTTATTTTAGTATATCAAGTTTTCAGTTAAAATTATACATCTTTTCTAGGCAACTAGCTGAAAAAAAAACTTTATTTATTCCAGTTTTATTGGTTTTAGTTAACTATAATAACCCTTTTTAACTTTAATTAATAATAATTTTATAAATTATTTTTAATTTGAAAAGATTCATATTTTTTTTATTTTAAACTGGCCGGAGCTTTCTGCACTGACCCCGAAGGGGATTAGAAAGCCAGAAAAATCCTCTGATCATTAGTTATGTAAGGCAACTTTAAAATCTGCATGTTCAAGATCATAACTGATAAATAACTGATAAAGATGAAGCTGTGTGGGCAAAGTACCTGTATGAATGCAAGTGGCACCACATAAGGATAGTGATACTGGGGAATGAAGATCCGGCTTACAAAACTGTGTAGATTATCTGCCAGAGCATACACAATCACAGCCACCAGGGCCGCGATGCACAGCAGAAATGGCACCAGAGGTTTACACACTTCATACACACAAGCTCTCAGAGCATGTGGTGTATGCATCTGCCACCATGCCGAACTGAAACATACATGAACAGACAGTAAATTGATTAAGCCTTAATAGACATTTTTACCCCTAAATCTAAGAATATCACATTAAAGATACTGAAGCAGTATGGTATAATCTCACAAGCATCGATGATAGAGAGATATTTTATGGCTACTATGCACAGCACATTAACAAACAAGTATTCACATTCACACATTTTAACCAGGCTTTGTGCTCATTAAATGTTCTTACCATCTGGACACCAGATTTTGCCAGGGGTCCATACTAGCGGTCCACCCACCCCAGGACCGGTGGAGTGGAATATTATTATTAATTTTGACCTCTTTACAGCATCAGGGTTTGGAGGACAGACGTCAAGCTACCTGCACACAAACACAAGATATCAAAAAAATCCAAAAAAATGTCACCATCACTAGAAAACTTTTATAAATAAATCAACAGCAGCATATAGGCTATCACTGACCATTATTTTTGCCCAATGTAATCTTCATTTCAGCCATTAACACAAAAAACGTTGCCATATATCTTGTCTTGTCCTGTAATTCAAATTAGTATTGTACGTAAAACACAAAGTCCAACATTTTTGTAAACGTTTTAACTTTTTACAGAAAACATGAAAAATAGAATAATAGAATTTAACATTTTAATTGTCAGATTATAATAAAATTAGCCTCCTAAAAAAATAGCCAATTTGATAATTTAATTAAATGTATCTAAATAAATTAATAAAATACCAAAATAAATAATAAAACATACAGTACAACGTACAGAAAAGAAAAATAACGATAATATAGACAAACTCACATCTCTTGGTCGTCAAGAGATCTTGTTTTTCCGTTATGTATTTTCGCCACGGATTGACTGAAAAAAACCTGTTCAGTCTCTGTCATGAGGGACCAAGCAGAAGTGGACTTTGATCTTATCTCACTCTGAGAGGAAAAAAAGAAGAATTATTTGAACTAACTTCCGTCGACGAGAGGTTTTCTTTCACCCGTTTGTCTGGGGCCGGTCAAATCTGTGTTTCTCCTGGATTTAGTCCTTCCGTTACCTCTCGTTCGAGTGCTTTGAGAGCATATATCTGTACCTGAGACAGACTCAGGACAGAGGACAAGCGGAGTTAATAATTGAATGAGTCACCTTGCAGCATGAAAGCTCATCACGTTGCTCGGTAAATATGTTCTTACCGCCGACGCATTTATATTGTTGTGCACCACACACACACATTAAGTGTTTTAGGCGTAGTAAAATATATTGAGAAGTAGTAGAATACAGGCTACATAAAAAATACTGTGGAACCTCCTATTTTAATAGTTTTACTCATGCTGTTATTTACTTAAGATGATTAACTTCACGTTTCTTTATTGGATATATAATGAAGTGGTATCTTTAAAACAGACAGAAGAAGGGCATATTTGTCAGCCAAAAATGTTCCATCTGTGCCATCTGTATATGACAGTCACCCGCCCCCCACCTATAAACTTTATTGCTTTGATAACCAAACATTTGTAACGCCAACTACACAATGCACAAATGTATAGAAAAAAAGATATGGTCAGCTATGTACATAAAAGCAATACGTTCATATATAGTAATGTAATTAATAATTACAACGAATGTATACAAACCATATATTCAACACAATTTGTTCTAGTACACATTATGACAAAATGGCACCATTCATTTCGACTGTGTATTCACTGTATAAATTGACTACACAGACAGCATTTGTGTATAAAGGAGATTTTTATTAAGGTCGATAAAGGCATCTCAGCAGACAGAAAGCGACCAATTTCATTTGGATGTGCTGTCCTACCTTCATACTAAGAGTGATTAAACTTGAGTGACTCACCTTAACCATCATTCACAGGACGCTGTTACGGTCATTTTATGTTATGCTTGAAAATGAATATGGCTTCCAATTAGATCAAATGAATGCATTACAACATAGACAGTGTAAATAAGACATCCATTAGGTCCATGATTAATTGATAATAATAAGACAAACATTTCTGTCTGAATATGTGTGTGCACACATGAGAGTATTTTTGTGGCTAGCAGCTGGATCCACAGAATAAATGGAGAAATGTACTGAGGGCAAACAAGCACATTATATCCATGACAGGTGGGTGAGAATCATAGAACAGACAGTCAATGCAATATCACCATGGCAACGCAGCACTTATTAATCAGGTCAAATATCAGTAAGAACATACCGATATGGTGACATCATAGTAATGTGGAATGGCGCAGTGACGGTGGGTCAATAAATGAAAGGACGTTCCCCCCTAAAGTCATTATTTACTCACCCTTATGTCATTCCAAATATTCTAGAAACGCCCCTTTTGTTCATTCTATTTGGGCTGTGTGTGTTTTTTTAGCTAGCATATACACTACCCATTAGAAGTTTGGGATAATTAAGAATTGTAATGTTTTTGTAAAGAAACATCTAATGCTCACCAAGGCTACATTTATTTGATAAAAAAACAGTAAAATATTATTACAATTTAAAAGGAACTGTTCACTATTTAAAAAATGTCATTTATGATTTAGTGCTCAATTATTATCAATTAATATTAGTGTTTAAATATTAATAATGGTGCTCATTATAATCAATGTTGAAACGGTTTTCTGCTGCTTAAATTCAGCTTTGCCATCACAGGAATTGCATTTTATCTTTGAATTAATATTTTAAAATATATTAAAATAGAAAACAAATTGTTATAATATTCTAAAATTGTACTGTTTTCACTACATTTTTGATCAAATAAATGCAGCCTTGGGGATGAAAACTTCACAATTATTATTATTATTTTTTTTTTAAATATTACTAAAAATCATAATTATTCCAATAGTGTATTCCGGTAGTGCGGTAGAATATATTCCCCATAAAAAAATAGCAGTATACAGGTTGGGTTTGATTAGGGTGCATGATAAATAAACTATTTGTATTATATAAAAAATATATATGCATTTTGTTATTTGACTTTCATTCAGAAGTGTCTGCGTGTGACACTCTGACCTGTCATGGCCAGCTCACCCCCTGCTCATGTAGAGCACTTCACAGTCCCGCATTACCCCGGCAACCCACTAAAATAAGGACCTGACAAAGAGGGAGGGAAAGAGTAGAATTGAAGGGAAAAAACAAAAAAGCAGTTGTTTTTTACACAGTGACATGCGGAGAACGATTTAACAACCACAAGGATGTCAAATTCTACGTACATTCCAGTTCTTTTGGTAGATTTTGGATGTATTGGAGCAGAGGAACGCTGTAGGCAGTGTGTATTTTGCATGGTGTTGGTTTGAGTGTGTGTATCAGGATGGTTGCATTCTCTCTCTTACCTTTTGGCCCATAGAAGAGAGAGAGAGAGAGAGAGCTTCGGTCCCGAATGACTCCCATCCAAAACCATGGGCATTGTGGTGTCCAGGTGAGTAGATCTAATAACATTATTATTATTTTCTTTCTGATAGTATTATTTGTTCACAAAATAACAAAGCAGACGTTGACAAGGAATTGTGAAAACAATAAATGTCAATACTTCACCTGATGTGCCTCTAAAGTGCACCACTTGTCCTCTGGTGGTTGATAGGATCTGTGTGTAACTGCTGATTACATTAGCTAGAATATAGAGTGTTTACGCATCAATTGCTAGAATTCTCTCCCCTCCCCCCTTCTCCCTCTCCTCGCAGAGCTGATAAATGTCGTTTGGTTCGCTCCACTGGCTCGCGGGGCTCTCTGCAGGTTCAGAACAGCGCCCCCTGTAGGGAGATGAATGGAACAGTCAAACTTTCTCAAATGAACCTCATTGAATCCTCTCAGAACAACACTGAAGGTAGGTCAACAACATACCTAAAGAATAAAGACGCTGCAAAATTAATCACTGCTTGTGTGTGTGAGATCAATGAGATACATTTTTTAATAAAAGACTGGTTGAAATATCAAACATGGGCTCATATAATATATCATAAATAAAAATAAATTTCTAAAAATAAAAAAAATGCCTACGTTTTTAAAGTAACGTAGATTTGCTGTAGAAACTGTCTGTGATAAATGTTAAAATAACTTTGTGTGTGTGTGTGTTTCCTTGTGTTTTTGTGTGAAAGAGCTTCTGATTCCTGCACTTCCAGAAAAAGCAAATATAGAAAGAGGTTATGTGACCCCACAGCAGGTATACAACCTCCTGAATGCTGAAGCGGGCCAACCTTCACTGCATGATCCCTATTATATGCTGATACTGGACTGCCGCTCTGCAGAGAGGTAACAGTGATACACATAAATAAATACATATGTATATTCAGTGAAAGGATCATGAATGGTTCTGACTTATAAGTTTAATGGTAACTAACTTGTGTGTGTGTATACATGTGCAGATATAAGCAGAGTCACCTGGTCACAGCCCGTGCCAGTGTGACGGTGATGCATCCAGAACTGGGCTGTTTGATAAGCTGTGTTCAGCTGCAGGAGTTTTCTATAATACTGCTATACGCTGAAGAAGGCCAAAGTCCAGGTATAACATTTTTATAATATAAATAAAATAAAACTTAATTAAAATGATTAATAATAATAATATAGCTAAATCATACATTTTATAAATGATGTTATACATTTATAAATTAACATACATGTATTATTAATGAATATACTTTATATTATGTTGAATAAATGCCAATAGGTTTGATAATAATATGTGACCCTGGACCACAAAACCAGTCATAAGGGTCAAATTTTTTTTTTATTGAGATTTATACATCATCTGAAAGCCAAATAAATAAGCTTTTCATTGATGTTTGGTTTGTTAGGTTAGGATAGGATATTTGGCCGAGATACAACTATTTGAAAATCTGGAATCTGAGGTTGCAAAAAAATCAAAATATTGAGAAAATCACCTTTAAAGTTGTCAAATGAAGTTCTAAGCAATGCATATTACTAATCAAAAATGAGGTTGAGATATATTTACGGTAGGACATTTACAAAATATCTTCATGGAATGTGATCTTTACTTAATATCCTAATGATTTTTGGCATAAAAGAAAAATCGATAATTTTGACCCATACAATATGCTACATATGACTGGTTTTGTGGTCCAGGGTCACATATAAAAAAGTTATTTTTATTATTTAAGGTTATACATTATATTCATAATAATACCTTAATATTAACTGATAAATATACTTAAAGTATAACATAACCTCATAATTTATTGAAATGTTTTATTTAGCTATATTAATATTATTATGTTTAAATGTGTTATTTACGTTATGTGACATTATACCTTTATAAATTAATATAAAAAGTATTATTTCTAAATACAATTATATTATGTTGAATAAATTACAAGTTTAATAGGTAACACTTTGTATTTGATAGTGCACATGATAGACATCTTACTAACTAGACATTAGACATATTCGACCACAATATCAAAAAGAAGATACTATGTCTGCTTTTCTAACTATAAGTAACTTTGTGAGCATAATAATAATAATTTAAACAACAAGTTATGGTTATTTTCTAAAAGATGATCAATTATATTTATAAATAATACTGTTGTTTTAATTGATAAATATATAACATAACCTTATGATTTATAAAATGTATTATTTAACTACTATTATGTTAATTGGGCAGTTTTATTAGACTTTAATAATAATAATAATAATAATAATAACTTTGTGTAAAACAATGCAAATAATATATTAAAATAATGTATAATATTAAAATAATGTAATAAAAATACAATAAAGTACAAATATTATGATAAATATATTAAAATAATAATGTATAAATATGGCTGTGTATGTGGCTTTGTGCTCTAGTTGGCAGTCAGGAGGCACGCGCTGACTCTCCTACTCTCCAGCACTGTTTCTTCCAGCTGAGTGCTTTGGGAATGGACCCTGTAATCCTCCAGGGGGGCTATTCTGCTTTTCACTCTCTCTATCCCTTTCTGTGCACCCCTCGCATGGTCCTACTGGAGTCAGAGCGTCGCTCCCTCACCATCTATCCCTCTGAAATCCTGGAGGGGGCGCTATACCAGGGCTCTGCCTCGCAGGCACATGACTACCGTATCATCAAAAACCTCCACATCACACATGTGGTCAATGCCACAGCTGAAATCTCAGATGCCTTCCCGAGTGTTTTATGTTATCTTCGGCTACGGCTTAGTGATGACGCACAGCAGGATCTTCGGCAGGCCCTTCCAGAAGCTTCTCAGTTCATTGCTGAGGCTTTGCGGGGGGCACCGGGGGCACCAGGCGGCCGGGTGTTGGTGCACTGCAGCCTTGGACGGAGTCGTAGCTCGGTGCTGACATTGGGATTCCTGATGGAGCATCGCCGTTGGTCTTTGCTACATGCTTTTCGTTGGCTGAAGGAAAGACGAGCTTGCGCTGCCCCGAATGCTGGGTTTCTTCGGCAGCTCTCTGACTACGAGGAACTGCTGTTTGGTCAACGGCTCACCTCACTGGATGACATCCGTCTCTGAGAAATACTGAAGGAAAATACAGTGACATGAAATGAAGGAATCCTCTTCACAGACTTATAGAGTTGGTTGTGTTGATCTTGGTTAATAATAAGAATTTGACAGACTGAAGAAAAACTTTGTTTGTCATATGATGACTTAAACACAAACATCCATTAATCTAACACAAATGGAAGTTTGTGGATGGCCTTATCCACAAAAAAAGAATAATAGAATGTATTAGGAAATATTAGAGAATACATTTAATACATCATAAGCCAAAGAAAGACAAATATCATTCTAATATTTCATATGTGCTCAAAACTAGCAAGATGAACATTCAGGTAGGATGAAGGGGGGAAAAATCTGAAAAGTCATTGTTTTTGATGTGATTTTACTGTTTAAGCAGGTACAAAACAGTCAATGGTAATTACAACATTTAAAAAAAAAAAATTATCTTTGCGTTTTATTTTTCTTTTAGGATGTGCGGTGGCCTGAGGGATTAAAGGTGAAAAAATGTATTTGTGTCTAGTTTAGGTTTAGTTTGTAATAATATAAATGTTTTGTTTTTGAGATTCTTCCAATATAGGAGAGAGATCTATTGACCAAAAAAGGCAATAAAGTAAAAATACAAACGGCACAGAACATACACAGCTGCAGACTGAAGTGTTTGACCTTTTTCTGCCCTTAATGATTTACACTGAGGACTGGGAAGAAGAAAAAGTTTGGTCTTACAGGAATGTGCCAAATTCATTTTAGTAGTAGAGTCAGATGTTTGGCTAGTGTTGCAATGACAGGAGTATTACAAGAAATCATAATTGATAAAAAAAAAAAACTAATAAAAAAACATTGAAGACAACTCTCATGTGCTAAAACATGCTAAAAAAATGTTTATTTTTATTTTGTAAATGAGCATATTTTCTTTAAATTATTTTGAAATGCTCAATATTTTTACATCAGTAATGCACAGAGTGCAATAAACTGTCTTTATAACACAAATGCGTGCCACTGTGTCTCTATTGTGCTATGGTTTCATAAACATACAAACATTCTTCAGGCTATGTGACAAACGTTTGCCTCTTTTACAGCTCAGTGTTAATTTGGGAAGCAAAGGTTGCAATCAGAATTGAAACCAGCAGGAGTAACTTATATATAAGGTTCATTTAAGGTCTGATTTAGATTTATAACTATATATTATAAGTATACTTATAATATATAGTTATAAATCAAAATGAGAGGAATCAACAGGGAATTTTGAGTGTTAAGAGTGCAGAGTGTTAGAAAAGAAAGAGAGAAAGAAACTTCCACTTCTTTTTTGCACAGAAAAAAAAAATCCATCAGGAAGAAAACAACAACAACAACAGAGACTTCTCTTTTCAGTTTATATTCATTATGCAACAGCTACAAAATACACAAGATAACATTCAATTCAACATTGATTGACACATTAAGGCATGGTTTAACAGTTTACCCAAAAATGGCAATTTTCTGAAAATGTACTCACCTTTAGCCCATCCAGATGTACAGATGTAGATGAGTTTATTTCTACATCAAAACAGCTTTGGAGAAAGCATTGCATCACATGCTTACTTGATCCTCTGCTGTGAATAGGTGTTGTCAGAATGAGAAATAAAAACACAATTCACAAGTAATGTAACTAATCCACAAGCTGAGTTCTCTATCCATAATATTGTTGTTTGGGTGAACTTTTTCTTTAATGAAGGATGCCTGATGGATTATACAAAAAAAAAACAATATGTTGGATGTTTTTATTAGATACAGTGTGAGTATAAACTGCTAAATATGTATGCAAACACTGTAGAACAAATTCACACACAGCTGTATGATGTATCAAGTACCACATCATAAGGATGAGCCCAATGGAATGAGATGTAGGAACTGTACTGTGCGCATGCGCAGTTCGAAATTCCACCTGGTTCCATGAGTTTGGGAGAGTGTGTGACACTCTGCACGTAGCGCAGCGGAACCCCCCGCCGCCAGATTGCGAGGAGAAGAGCGGTCCAACCTCTCTGATAAAGCCCAGCTTCACACCAGAAGCATCGTAAACACAGAAGAGTTCTCCATCCATGCTGTGCTCCTCATTAGCGGCACTAGAGCGACATCTGGATCGATTCACTGATTCTCTGCGCAGTGACCGCCTGAAAGGTACGAGGATATTTACTTTACAACC